AGAATCCATGAAGTTGGATCCAGTTCAAATTTTCACCTGTACATGGCTCTATATTGATAACATAAGAATATACGAGGTAAATAATATGTTATCAATCCTAACCGATCAACCGATGGGGAACGTTTGTGAGACCGTTCATAGCGAACGTATCTGGTCAATATATGAACGTAAACGTACACGTATGTCGTGGAAACCCACCTTAACAGTGTTTCATGCGTTATAAATTAATACCGCATTAATACCGAATACAATTGAATATTGATGATTTGAAATGGATTCTTAAGATTTAAGGGGGGGGGTCCATAGGTACTCGAGGAATACTCTTGGTTGATGAATATTAATAATATTATATAACATTAGCCCTACAAATATAGATTATACGTATTACAATTTACAAGCTGATATTTTTACCGATTGATTGTTATAAGGATTGTAACGGTGTGTAATGTGTATCCACATAAAACCGTTTCAACGGATAGGTAACACGTTTAAAATATATGCACGAAGAATATTAATAAGTAAATGTGATAAGTGATAAAAATTAAATGGAAACTGTTCATCAAAATTCAAAAACTCCTTCTATTATTTACAATTTTGCATTAACATTTGAGGGAGTCTATTGTGGTCATTTTCTTTTAAGACTCCTCGGGATATTGTTAACGATGGAGTGGAGTTTAGATTGGATAATTGTTTGTAAGGTCAAGTTGCTAATATTCCTAAGGAGTAAATTATTATACCCATGGTTCCAGTTATTTTCTAATAATAAATATTATATTATATTATATTATACATAATATATTTTCTGAATTCTGGAAGGCCTGTTTAGGTAATTAGGATTTTTAATGCATTATTAGTTCATGACGGATGCGTATTTCTAGCAGGTCTGCTGTATATTGTAATAACTAATAAGTATAATATGTAAGTGTGTTGTATATATTATAATGAATATGTATAATAAATATGTACTTTTACGTGTGCGTATTACGTCAACATATGCACTCTGGGAATGTTCGTTAAACTGATACTAATTATCGTACAAGAAAAAAATTTTATTTCACGATATTGTCAACTAAAAACAATTACTATAACTATTTGTGTACAAAGTGTCAAAGTATAAATATAACATTTATGCATCGGTTATTCAAAAATAACACTTAAATCGAAACTAAGAATACACATAGCACCTATAATATAGATAATATACTATAAAGGAAATTTTTTTAAAAAATATATTCTTAAGTACTAAAATCCTTTTAAGCATTGCAATACGCAGCTTGCTTAGTCAGCTGTAGCTTTGTGTTAGTTGTTAAGCATAGAAATATTATTATGTCAGTGACTCATCATATTTGGTCGTTCGATACGTAATAAATTGTACATAAATTACATTACCTATATTTTTCACTTATCTTAAAGTAATATTAATTTTATAATAAACTGAAATATAAAAATGTACAGTACTAAATATCAGATGATATATATCTATTTAACACTCCATCTAAACAAAATAGGTACCCAATAATTGTGGGCGGCCCCCCTTTTCCGCCAAAATGTACCCTTCTCTTTTCGGCCAAAACTTACCGTTCCTTTTTAGCCACTACAGTTTTCTTTAACATTTGAACGTAACAATTTTTATATTTAATATTAAATATGATTGTATCAAAAATTTGGTTTTTCTGCGCATCCCAATGTAACACCCTGCCATACGGGAACCGGTTTCTATAGTATAAGGTGACAAAGGGGGATGCGCAGAATCATATTCTCGATACTCCCGCCGGACAAAGTATAGTTACCTACTTCACTATTATGTTCCGTGCAGCTATAAGTTATAACATAATATTATGAAATAATCTTTAGTTTATTTAATGTTTTATAGAATAGGTCACCCTCTTCACTGCAGATAAGTAGTTATTACTTATTTGACTATTATACTCAACTAGTCGACTGAATAAAAATAATTGTAATAACATTATTTATTTGGGTACAATTGAGAGAGGAGAGTTGGACCACCTGAAGTCTGAATTGGTAGTAATTTAAACAAATACAATTTACTGGCAGAAAAATCATGTTAAAATATAGTTGTGACAACTTTATTTTCTAATTATGTTACTGTTTTATTCATATTAAAATATAGTACGAGGGACGGAGTGACCAAACGTATTAAGACGTCGGTGGCATTTTTCTTCGGGCAGTCACGGTGTCCGGAGAGAGGGGTCGCCATCCCGCACCCGGGCTTGGCAGATACCTATACGTATGTCCACTTAAAATTTCTGCCAAAACAAACACACACGTGTTCAAAACTTACAGTACCCTCCTACACAGTTCCATAGGCTAATGACCTCAGTTTTCAAACCCTCAACCTAAATAAAAAAATAAAATAAAATATTGTACATAAATATATGTTTAAATTACTGTCAATAGATATAAAGTGTTAAGGGTAGGGCCCCTGTTAATACCGTAGGGGCTGGGAATAGTTTTCAATTTGTTCAGTGTTCACTCCTATACTCCTATGACCGACTACCGACTATACCAATACCACGAAAGTACGGACCTCGTCACACCCGTCTCGCACGTGTTCCGAAACAAATACATACTCCATTGTCGATGGTAAAATTGGTATGGTTTTAATTCAGGTTAGCAGGCACCAACATCAGAGTACTCGACCCATAGACCCACAAACTAATTGACAGTGTTTAGAGAGAGAAGTCAGGAGTAAGAATATACGATTAGAGTGAACGATAAAAAAAGATACAAAGTAATAAAATATATACAGTTCCTTACGAGCTTTACGAAGTGCCCCTTCACTACTTTATGTTGTTTTACGCTCAGTTATATGGTTTAATAATGGTTATAATATGATCGCCTATTCGCCTAGCATTGGTGGCGGGGCAGAGTGGAATGCGCTGTCCATTAGTTTATAGGTCTATGACTAGACCGAATATAGAGCCGAGAGAGCCCTATAGATGTGACACAGTGGCGTAGCCAGGAATTTTGTATGGGGAGGGGGCTAAGTATACAAATACAATATGTCCTTTATTTACACTTGTCACTTTTTATTGAAGTTATACTTCTTTACGCAGGGTAGTGAGAAAAAAAAAGCGAACGGGCGGCCGCACGAACGCGAAAGCGTACATGTCCGTAAATAAATAAATATTGTCATGGTAATGTTGTTTTATTATATATTATAATCGGGCCATACTAATTAATATGAATAATTAATGATCGATTATTATTTATTTTTATTATTATTATTATTATTATTATTCACTCACAAATGACAAATCTATTGTCTGGATAAAAACAATACTACAAACAATTATCCATCGATCTGTCGAATAAATATATAAAAAAAATAATAAAACTGTCAATAATAAATAATTCCGGATACTTCTTCTCATTTTTTTCTTTCTTTTTCACTCACTCACGTGTTACGTGTACCATTCAAAAGAAGTTTAACTTCCCGCGCGCGTACTGGTAACACTCATATTTTTTTTGATTAATCTTGATCAAATTCTAAGGTCAACACAGTCAATGGGGGGGATATAGCCCCCTTAGCCCCCCTGGCTACGCCACTGATGTGACACTATAGATACCTTTATACTTTGTAGTGTCTTACGAATTTCCTCCGAAGTTTGAGACACCAGCCAGCCAAAGTTTTGGTGTGTATGGTGTATTAATAAAATACATTTTAATCTAAAATTAAATAATAAATTATATAATTATTATACCTTAATTATTTATAAATATAATACTATAAGATAATAAATAATAATATAATATTCAATTATACCTATTTTAAACCAGGTTTACTAAGATGTATAATATACATAGACTCAACAACAGAGCATTAATATATGGCCTTATTATAGTCTAATATCTATAGGCTCTCTACTTAGGTCCATCCACGATTAAATGTATAATTTTTATTATATTCTTTAATAGTGGATCGATCAGAATTCTGTTTAGATGTTAGCAATTGCCAATTAGCAAAGAACAATATGATGTTAGATCATAATATTGTAATTATATCATCTTACGAGTTACGACATAAAAAATATAAAAATCTGTTATTTAATTGAATCGGTCATTTCGAAAAGGCCATTTCTCCACACATTTTCAAAACTAGTTTCATGTGATAGATGTGTTTAACTAATAATAATGCACATTTCCTGCGATACCTACCAACCATATCTTCAAAAATTCGTTATAGTAAAAAAATAACGAGTGCATTCGAAAAGGCCATTTCTCCAAAAATAACTTAATCCTCAATATTATTTGTTAAAATTCCATTTTAATCTGGCTTATTGTCTATCTGTTGTCGATAACAGTTGACAATAATTAAATAAATAATTTAAGGAAGGGAATTAAATAATTCAACCGTTATTCAATTTTCATCTTAATTTAATTTTGATCTCTAAAAACAGTTTTTTACGTTTCCTGAAAATGTTCTACAAATTCGCTAGATTAAACTGGTGTGAAAAATAATGCACCGGGATGTTTGGACCATATCGTTTACATGGTTCATTATCCCGGTGCGGGATAATGTGGGATAATTTTAAACCGGTATAGTTAAGCGAATTTCTAGGTTCATTCGCTAGACTAACCGGTTTAAAATTATCTCACATTATCCAAATCACCGATTAAATTATAAGTGATGGTGGCTAACCTGTATTATAAAATCATATGATAATAGATAAGGTTAATAACAAAAAAATATTATTATTTTACAACTGTTTATGGTAGATACCTATTATTTGCGTTGTTTTTGTAGTTTCTTTAAACTATAGTAAGTTGAAGTTGTATTTTTGTAATTTGTACCTATTAACATTAACCTATATAGATTGTATTAATATGTTATCTAATCTAATGCTTATTTGATATTTCTCCTGTTCGGTGTATTTCAGATTTTATATTCTTGACCTCGTGCTTTCAAAATCATTATATAGTGGAAAATTGACTATCAATATAATTCGTGATCAAAATATTTTCAGTTGAAATTCAAAATGGTTAGTACATTGTTATTAGTTGGTAGTTTATGAAATTCAACTTCTCGTTGTATAACATAATTTAAATACCATTATTTTATTGTTTAGGACGCCTTTATGATGATACAACGAAAAAAGCTAACCATATTTACAGATGCTAAAGACAACATATTGGTTAATGAGCTCAAAAAGATTATTGGATGTATGTACAAATATTTTATTTTATTTTTTTATTTTTTTCAAGCAATATATAATTGTGTCAATTGATACAATAAGAATATAGGCTCAAAGTACAAGTATGGCATGGTAACATTATTTTGATGAGAGGAGACACCCATCGATGACACTTCCTAAAATTAGTTATTAATTATTTAATATACTATAGATATTAATGTATATAATATATATGTATATTTTTTCTTATAAAAATCACTACACCATTAGTGCTTTAAGCATCTTGGGGGATTACCTGGTACGGAAGAGGAAGCCAAATTTTTAATAAGGGGATTCAAATAAGTGCTTGGGTGGTTGTGAAATCTTTTATAAAAACATTTGTGTTCGTAATTTATTGTTTTAGTTTAATACTCTGTTGAAAACTAAATCAGTACCGGGCAGCGACCAGTTTTTGTTCCGCTATGGTCCGACGCTTTCCCTACTACAGTGGCGCGTAGAGTTGTGTCGTAGCCACGCCCATGTTCACAATTTGGTTGCCCGGTACTGATCTCATTTTGAACTGAGTATAAATCTGAATGATTTTGTTAACTTTCTAAGAGCAATATTTTGAAAGGTTTGAATTTTATTAATGTATGATTAACAAAATGCTGCAGTGGTGGTAAAATTCTTTTGTCTTTATGGTACCGCCACTGTCTGGACTCATTTTGACCTTTACCCCATTCTTCAGTCCCTATTTCATAATATACAGATAAGCCATAATATTGTTAAAATTGGAAGCTACTAAAGTGCTGTCAGCTGCTAGGCTATCTATATCTGTTTACATTGCTCTCAATTATATATTTGTAACTTGTAGAAAGACAGTCAATCAACAACTATCAAAAATATTATGTCTGTCCTTTTCCATAATATTATCTTAAACTTTAAAGATTAATAATTAATATGGTTAAATCCTAAACTAGTCAATGAGAAATTTGTTTTACAAAAATGGTGGTAGTATCATGTAATTTATAACTCAAAACTCTGATTACCCCATTTCTGTGAACAACAAATTTTGAAAACAACGAATACTAAAATTAAATTAATGAATTTTTCTAAAATGTAGGTACTACATTACTAATTATTATTTTAGGTATCATAAAAGTAGCACCAGCAAATCAACAACTTTACTATAAAGATGAAATTATGGATGAGACAAAAACATTATCAGAATGTGGTTTGAATGCTACTATTGCTAAAGCACAAAGTCCAGCTACTATTGGTTTAGCATTGAAGTAAAAATAATTAGACATTAAAATATTTGTAGATTATTAATTTTGTACGGTATTTGCAGGATGGAAAATGGAGAATTTGAGCCATTAGAAATGGTACCATACTCATTGCCACCAGAATTGCCATATGTTATGAAAAGTCAAGAAACTAATGGCCAAGAACCACCCATGTAAACAGCAATCACTAAATAACATGTTCAAAAATGGTTTTTTTTTTTAATGGTTTATAAATAAGTGAAAAATAGCATCTCAGCTTAAACTAAGGATTTTTTTTTATTATGTTATAACCTTATTTTATATTTTGTTTATAATCAATAAACATGTCATAATTATGAAAATGGTAACATAAGCATTAAACAAATTAAACAATATTATAAAGTATATATATATTATAAAGTTATTCAAATTTATTAATTTAAACAATATACCAAGATATTCAATTTGTTATTTTAACATAAATGAATTTAATATAATTAATTTAGTTTCTATATTATTTAAAAAATAAAAATAAAAACGTATTTGATACAAAATATTTTGAGTAAAAAATATTACCTACCTACATATTAAAGTAACATGTTTAAATTAATATTTACCATAATACTATGTATTTTCAAGCGGGAAACGCTGCAAATTAAAATTATTTTAAAACATTGAATTGTTTCTATGTTTATTTTATTTAAATCGTGGAAAAAACCCACAAAAAAATAAATTACAAATTATAATATAACAATAATTCTCCATTTTAGCTTCAAAATTATATGAGCTTAATATGAGCTTTACATTTTTATGTTCTAATTTTGTTTATTTTTTGTCATTCAAGTTGAATCTTCAACAGTGGTCTGCGGCGACTGCGCTAACAGGATACATGCAGTGATATTTGATTCCCTAACAACTTTCTCGAGCACTGGTGAAAGTGCATCTACTTGTCTTAGTCTCGTATTTACCCTGATCGGTTCTAAGGCTCTATTTTCCGTTTTCATTTTAATCTCTGTATATTTTAGGGTGGCTAGTCTTACTACTTCTTTGGGAAGTTGAATCCTCTCATTAGATTTATAATAGGTTAGGTCTATGGATTGAGTCATAGGCCTTCTTAAAATCTACAAGAAGACACATAGATTTTTATCGAATTCCCATGCCTTTTGAAAAATTTACCTCATATTGAAGATTTGATGTGTGATCGACCTGTTCTGTCTAAAGCCACATTGGTAGTCGTTGGATAATATCTACAATCTTGGTATTTAAATTTTAAAAATTGATCACAGAATAGATTATTGTTATTCTATGGTTAGATACCTATCCAAAGATTAAATCCCCAACAAGGTACCAGATTACAAGAAAATCTTGTAAATATTATTTTCTGTCTTCGAGGTATCATTAAAACAAAATTAAATAAACAATATAATTATTTAAACTATATTCAATAGTACCAATTTCCGTTTATTACATAGGTACCTAATAATACATATAAAAAAAATTGAATTCAAAATTATCATAATTATGTACCTAATGGCGTAATAATTTATTTAGATTGAGTGAGGTGAATGTAACAATAATGAAGTGTTTTTTTATGTAGGTATGACTATCCGACTATCGTAACTAGTGAACCAAACAGATTCATAGGTTCACCACTTAATACTCATAGAAATGGTCTAAGCCCTAAGTCTATCCAAAATTCTATAGATACCTAGGGTCCGCACATTTGAACCATAGAAGATACATCAATAACATCAATACATTGTTTTATGATTGAGTTATCTGAAGAACAAGTTCGGAGCCATTGATACCACATGTTCGATGTCCACAACGACTATTATCTTGTTTTTTTCACATTAGTTCATAGACCTTAATATAATAATATACTTTATAAGTCATAAGATCTAATCATTAATAATTAGGTAATTTTTATCTTAGAGGAGCTACTAATACCACAGAATATTTATTTAATTTTTAATATTTATTCTAATATGCTTATACCTGGATGTTTTCACTCTTCAGGTATATTTGTTTCTGTTCATTATATTTCTTAAAATATATAATTATTAGTATTATTTAAAATATATAATTATTAGTATTATTTAAAATAAAATAAACATAAATTATAATAATAAATGTATTTACCTGTAACAAGAAAATAACAAAAAAACTATTGGGGGCAGTGGCGCACACTCTAAAATAAATAGGGGTAGCAAATTGATTCGGTCACCTCTATATTGGCTAATAGACTAATGGTTATAGCCTATAATTATTCAATAGTTTATTTTTAATATTTTTATATGTAATAGAATTTTCATGATGTAAATATTTTGGGGCCAGGGGGTCCACCCACCCACCTACCAAAAAAATCAGGGGTAGCAACTGCTACCCTTGAACCCTCCAGTGTGTGCCACTGATTGGGGGCCTAATTTTCTACTCCCCCTAGGCTCGGAAGCTTTGCCACATGAATTAGTTAAGTACGAATTCAAATGCAACAGTCAAAAATAATGTGTATATGTTACAAATTGGTTTAACTTGTAAGTAGACAGGATTTTTTTATATGTTTCTACATATTTTGTACTAAGGCTATGCAGTGTCATTTGGGCGAGTTTTCCAATTTTTTATTTAACAAATATACATAAACAATTTTACTTTGCATAAAAATACATATTCAGTAATTTGACGTTAGATAATATTTTATTATACATAGTGACATATTTTAGGAATATTTCTACTATTTAAAGAATAAGGTAATAAGGAAATTTAAAAAAAAATAGTATAATATAGGAAATGGACATTTTTTATTACCACATCACCTCTATATAGTCTTAGCAGTGTCAGTGCGATACATTTTTTCTGTAGAAAATTGTTTAATGTAATATAATATAATATAATACATGTGTGGCATATACTGCAATATTGTTATAAATTGTTTCAATTTGTTTGATTTTTTTATGTGAAATATATTTGTTTATGTATGCTACTAGGCGTAGGGGCCCAGTGCCTCTAGTCAGTTTTCACACTTCTGTAAATGGTAAGGTTATCCGTATAAATTAATTATTAAGGGTTAATATAAAAATTTTCAACCGAACCTGATGGCTGTTGTCTACTAGAAAATAATATCAAAAATAGTTAATATAGCATAAAGAGACAATATATTAAAAGTAGTGACAAAATAAGATTTATTAGAAAACTATTATCTAATAGAATCTATTTTGTCATGTTAAAAGCGCAGTATAGTAGTGATGATAAAATGCGTGAAAATCGCATAATAGCGAACTTCACCAAGGCTTGGTGAACAAGCCCGACTGCCAAATTCTGACTTCACCAGTTCGCCATCGTTATTCGTATACGTAACTATTATAGGGCACTTTAGATACTAGGTATGCTAAACCTCCATTTTGCGACTAATAATGTTATGTGAATATGAATTTTTTCCACTTTATTTTTTCATTGACAAATGAGTCACAAAATGGTGGCATAGCATACTCATTATATGTAGAGCCTTAATGTAACTAGGTATATACATAATTTTTAGAAATAAAAATTACAACAAAATATGGGTGTCCAGTATTAGGTGAAGTAACAAAGTTCCATCACTTCACACTTGTATACGTTTCCAATTTTCCATAACAAAATGATTTTGTCATATTTTAATTATATTGTTAATTTTTATCAGTTATCACGGACCACGGTCTAGATCACCCTTATCAATATAGGTTTTTCTTCTGCAGTAGCGCACTTCTTCCATGACGCACTACAATGGCGGAGGTCCCTACTGTCTATAAATTAAAAACATAATAATATCATTATATCATCATAAATTCATAACAACAGTAAACTAAAGAGTAAACAAAGTACAGACTGCGAGACGCGACTACGCAAGTTTTCTGTCGCAAAGACATAAGTTATATTGAGAAGGGGAGAACCCATTAATCGACGGGAACCTGGTAATTCGATCCCGCGACCATCTATTGGCCTTTGAGCGAAAACGAAAAGTCGATAAAATGAAAAAAACTGCAGACCCGTGATAAGCGCCACAGAGCGAGTAATACGGTTCCATTGTACCGGCGCTTGGGCACAATTTGACGAACGGCAGTGATGGGTCCAGACGAGCGATGATCGTGTAGGCCAGCCAGCCAGCCAGCCAGCAGTGATAACGGCGTCGAACCGACGGCTGTGGCGTTCAAGATCAAGACTCGCAAGTCCCGACTCCCGATCGCATTCACCGCCTGCGACTGAGCCGGTGAGTACATATTATTATTACTAATCATTCATACTGTCGTGCCTTTTGTCGTTGTATTATCGAGTTAAAATAAAATAACTAATGTTGTGATTTGCAATGTTATAACTTATATTATTAAATTTTGTGCGCGCACATCGATTTTCGCGCGTTCGTGCGTCGTGTGATAATATCGATAAAGTTAATATTTTCCCCGGGACGTATTCAGTGTTCTGAATTTTTTTTCTCTCTCTGTCACTAACTCTACACTATCTAGTATCTTCCTCCAACCACCGCGGCAAACCGTGCCCTTCGCCCGGGTTTGTGTGGCCCCGCGTCACCCACACTGTTTGGAGCTGTTGGAGGGAAACATTTTACGTTCACCTATTCGTTACCGTAACACACACATCGTAAACATTATAATAATTATTATTATTATTATTAAATACGTAATACAACAATAATACCGAGATTGTTTATTTTGTTTCCACGCTGATATCAAGTTGTAAATAATTGGAATACAAATTACGAATGGATTATTACATATTTTTATCTCACACATTTTCTCTGTCTATAGCACAAGTTTGTGATAATAATAATTAGGTATTATAAATTATTTTTATTAATTTAAAAATCCAACCAGTAGTTATAATATATTCAATAATAATAAAATATTTAAATGTTTTAAAATGTATTTAATTTACCGTTCTTAAATAATAATAATAAAAATAACAACAATAACAATATTGTTGTATAATGAACTTCAAAAAACTTTAATATGATTTTTGTAAACATAATTGTATTTTAATTATACAATCTAAAATATTAAATTTTTTTAATAGCAGGTATGCCTATGTCTTATATTTATTTATTGATATTTTAAACTTCATTATATAATATTTTATATTAAAAATTGCTTTTTGTTATAATTTTTTTAATATATTTTTAATATTTTGCAGGACATTTTTCAATATGTCGTGCTCTAAAATTACCGAGAAAGCAGGTGAAGAACCAGAGGAAGAAGAAGCTGATGACACTTTAGTAGTAGTTGTTAAGCCTGATGGTACAGTTGCTATAGATCAAGAAACATTCAATAGAGTTTTGGGTAAGTCATTATTTATAAATATTTAAAAATTCAAGGGTAAACCATTTCATACCTAGACTAAGTACATATTGACATTGATTATAAATTATAAAGTACCTACTATAGATTACTCACTGGCCCGTATTTCCATGGCGCTTCATAACGGCTACATCCATTTTTCACATAAATACGGGCCAGTGAGCGATCTATAGTAGTTATAATCAATGATATTGGGTTGCTGTTTTATTTTAATCTATAATTTTTTTTTAACAATAAGTAATACATACACCTATTTTTATTATTATTGTATTTACAGCTAAGTAATTGATATTTTTTACATATAGTGTATACTTGAATTTAAATGAATTGTATGCTATTACTTATTAAGTACTTATCTAAATTGTTTTGACTCATAACTTTGATATTTTAAAAAATATTCATGCTTCATGTCTAGTCATATTTAATCTTATATTGTTAAACTTATTTATTTAGAAAGCAAAAAGGAAACCATGAATATTATCCACTTTGAGAACAGCAGTAATAAAGGCATAACCACAAATCCAGAAAATGGAGAGCCCGAAATCAATTTGACTGTGCAAGGTTTTTATCCATCTATTTCTACCAAAACATTCTTATCCCAAGGTATGATATATTAAATATAGACAAAAAATTGTATTATTTTCTGATTGAATATGCATTTTAACCATTAGATAATTTTATATAATAATAATAAGAATTATTAGAAGTAAAAAAAATAAAAAATTTTAGTTTGGTAATTTAACTAATTAGGTAGGCACATGTATTTATTTATATGGAGCTGTTTACAGAATAGTGCCTAAATCTAACAGTTTTCTCAGTAGATATTTGCTAAAGTGGGAAAGTGAGGCTGACCTTAAAGCTTGTGAAGTGCAGAGTAATTTTTAATGTATGATATTAGCAAATATATGAAAAATCTATATATTCAATTTTTACTTTTTCAAATATCAATATATATTTTTTATTTCATATAGGTACATATTGAATCAATAATATATTAAGTATATTAAGTTTAGATAACTGGAGTAGAGTCATTGGTAACATTTTGAGGAGTACACTATTTCAATCATCTAAACTTTGCTTACCTATTAATTATTAGGTTCAATCTTTATATTTATATATCAAAAATCTTCAGAAAAAACATTCTCCTCTGAAATATCATTTAAAAAATTCATATTGTCATTTAAAAAATAAAAATAAATATTTATTTTGTATTCATAAAAATTCTTATTAGGTAATGTTTACAATAATTTGTACAAAAGGGCTCAGTCTGTATATCCATTTCATAATAAATTAATAAATCAAGATGTGTATTATGTTTAAAGAATCGCTTTGATTAAACTATGAATATAATATATTTAAATTTTATCATATTTGATTTGTGAAATATATGTTAAAAATTTTTTTAGTATGATGATTTATCATAAATTTATTCACATTCTATTTTTTTCTATTCAAAATGTGGTAAATATTTTTCTTCTAGCATAAATCAGGTATAAATAAAATAAAAAAATCCGACAAAACACAGATAAATTTATAAAATATATATATCTATATTCTATGTTGATCTTCATTCAACAGCCATTTATTATATGTCACCATCTATAAATATCTATACTCATTACTATTGAGTATACTTGCTTTTTTAATGAAAGTTGTGGTTAATTTACTTTTCTCAAAGCATATGTATTATATTTTGTTAATATTTAATCATTTTCGTCTTTTCTTAATATGACTATTTCTCTGAATATTGAATTAAGTAATTTAAACATTGGTATTTATATTACTATCATACATTTCATGATTTAATACTTATAACTTTACTTTAGTTCATGTATGAGGAAAAAAAAATATTATTCAATCATTTGTTTACATTGTTTGCAATGTTTTATTTTAAATATTATATTTGAATGCTTAGAATTCTTCAGGGTTGCAACTCTGTCACTTTTCTCACTTTTTGTCACTTTTTTTTGGTTTGGTTACTTTTTGTCACTATATTTCGAAAACTGTCACTTTTCTCACTTTTCTCACTTATAGCCATTTATTATAATGTTTCATGAAAGAAACCAAAAATAATTTTAATCAAATAATTTTTAAAATTCTGTTAATTTAATTTTACCCTTACAATATTCGCATATATATAATATATTGTATTGTACCATTATAGTCGTGATACATCCGTGATTAAAATCTTTGATAATGGTGCGGCATAATGGTCTCTCATATTTTAAATAATCATTAGGAAGTAATTAAACTGATTAGATATTATATATATAATATTATCTATGATTAAAACACGATACCCACAGACTAAGTCCGTGACGATACCCAATGAAAATTTGATAAAATTATATCCTATGCACGATTAAAGTATCTATAGTCTATACAACCACGTACAGTTTTGCTATGGTCTACTATTGCTATGGTCCTATGTAATCTCATGATCTACAACCGTATTTTAAGTAACCATCAATACCATGGAGTGGCTAACTTGAAAGTTAATAGATTTTGACTTGAGATGACTGACTTGCTAGAAACTCCAACACGGTTTTCGACTTTACACTTTTTACATAAGATAAAGCACTAAGCACCGGTCATGCTACGGCACATACCACTCTATGTGCAGGTATACTCTATATAGGTGATCCTGGAGATCGTATCCAGTCTATCCAATTACAACGTTTGTGACGGATTGCTAGACGCTCAAACTTTTAACATTCCCGCCAAAGCGTCTAGCCTTATCTCCAATCCATATCACTAATCCTTATCACAAATCCTAAACTTTCGTCTTACAACCTTTGCGACTTTTATTATTCATTGTCTCCAAAATCGGTACCCACTCCCAGCGAGTCCGACCGGCCCCGAGTTACACTTAGAGCTAGTATTATAATATTATCATGACTTTTTTTGAGTTTATGGCATTATAGTATGTTGTAATCGTTATTCAATAATCTTCAATAATTTATTTAAAAAAAAAATTATCTAAAAAAGAAAAATATTTTCCTTACAATAATTAATTTATACTTAAATTATAATTTAAATGTAGTATCTATATTGCAGTTATTACATATTTAATATTTATATGGCAAATGCCTATTATATTATATTTATGTTGTTTTATTAATTCATAAGATATCAAATGAGTTAATATTATTAATAATATATTATTATTATTAATATATAAAATAAAATGCAAGTGAGCAATATACTTTTGTTAGTTTATTAAAATAGTTTTTTATTAAGAAAAAGATAGTCACTTTTTATCACTTAAAAAAAATAAAGTCACTTTTAGTCACCTAAAAAAAAAATTGATCACTTTTCTCACTTTTTTAGTTCATTATTTGAGTTGCAGCCCTGATTCTTTCTAAAATTGAAAGATTCTTTACTTATGATGTTATTAAAATATTTATTCAAGGTATATGTAATTTTCTAGGTAATAATACTATGCTAGATTTAATTAAATAAATAATTTAATTATTAATTACATTTTAACTCGTGTATAATTTAACATGACATCACTAAATTTAAATTAAACTTTTATGATTTTCAGACAATGAAAATAGTGGTATAACAGCAAATACTATTTATTTGGATCATTGTTATTACAAGGATTGCCCGCCAAACATACCAGATACCAAAATTTGTTCGCCTCGAATTACACTCTCTACTGGAATACAGCATATTACAAGTAATTATTATAATAATTACTAATTAGTTTATATGCAGTACTAAATTAAATTAAAATTAATATTGTAGATAAATTAAAAAACTCAAATATTGTGGACGAAATTGAAGAAATTGAAGAGATAACTGTTTCAGTGGATGAGAGTAAGTTAAATACTTCTTTGTATATGTACTTATAGAAGGTATATAATATTAATTTTAAATTTCCATAAATATTTTGAGCTTATTAAAAAAAAATTTTTAGATATCAAACCAGGCATACCATCAAATACCGTACCCAATAATGCTCCAGAAAGTAATTTACCCAACAACAAAAAGATGCTAAACTTAAGAGTTGGAAAAGTACTAAAAAATATTAAAATAGATTTTTTACTAAATTTAAATACTAATATTTTACATTTATTTAGAATGAAAAACCAAGAACTAAGGGTCCTATATCTTTAAGAAATACAATAACTAAAAAGAAACCTGATGAAATACAAATTAATCAACACGGGGATAAAGCAAGAGCTACAAAAACGGTTAAACGTCTGGGTTCCACGGTAAGATTTAAGTTTATAATACTCTTTGTATTCTAATAAAGTTGGTTAAAAAAATTCTAGTTGTATCTAGAATTCTAAGACTTAAAACTTCACGGAATTCAAAATGTTAAATTATAGTAATATTTATTTGATTGATTTAGATTTTAGACAAATGTCTGACACAAAAAATAATTATATATAATATACAATATAAAAATACTAAATAGTAACTAATAAAAATTTAAAATATTGTTAATATTGGCTTTTTTAAATGTCTTTAATTTGTTTGTGCTTTTAAAATAATAAATAGAACAGCAAAAATATATAAATATAAAATAACAAATTAATAAAATATTAATTATAGATTGGCCCTTTCTAGTTTATTTAAAACTAGGTACTTTGATTGCTAACTAACATGGTTTTTGAGAAATTCAAATTCAAATATTTGATATAAATCAATTAATGTTTTATACCAATCTTATTGATGTTTCTAATCGTAGCCAAATAGATACCATTTATACAGACATAAAAAAGACTTGATTCTGTGGACCAAAATATTTTAGTAAAAAAATTGAAACTTGCTTACATGCAGTGCCGCAACTAGAGATAAAAGGGCCCAGGTGCGAGTCAAATTTTGGGGCCCCTTATTTCAAACTTTTGTCTTACAAAATTTCCTAGCATGAAAAGCGCAATTAAGGGTGTGCTTACAACTCCCTGGTAACAAAAAAACCCAGAAAATAATAAAGACACATGGTTTCCTATCTCAGGAGGCTAAACATTTTTATTTTGGTTCTTCAATTAATGTCTCCAATATTATTAGATGTTGGACGCTTGTTGCAGGTATAAAACATTTCAATTTTCATCATGTGTTGTAAATTGGAATAAAAGTTCATATTAGTTTAAAATCTAAAATCCTTTATGTCTGAAAAGGGCTCCCTAAATATGGTGATGGGGCCCTTTGAGGGTGCGGTGCATTCCCAGCACCCCCGCTAATTACGACACTGCTCACATGGAAAACTTCTTCAGTGGTTGTGGTAATTTATTTCTGCTAGAACATAAACAGTCAAAATTAAACATACAAAGTCATTACCTATAAATGTATCTTCTGGTGTACCACAAGGTGAAAATCTATCGCCACTTTTATTCCTAGCATTTATGAATGATATAATCATAGTATTTTCACAAAATAAAATGAAAAAACAAGCTTGTAGTCCACAATGAAGAGAATGACTGCTTTTAAAAAGAAAAGGAGAGAAAAATGGTATGAGCCCCACTCCCCACTAGGCAAAAATAATAAAGAGAGATAGGAGTTTGGAATGTGGGATCCATCGGTGTTTAGGATCCAGAATATGGATTAAATAGGTAACCTGACCCTAGCTTTTCCAAAAGCTAAAATTGTAGTGTGGAGTGAGACAATTTTTTATACAATAACCAATCTACGAGAATTTGTTGATGATTTCTGCTATTTCGGTAAATATGGAGGAGAGTTATGACTTATGACTGAAGGATGTTAATGGCACGGAAAATTTCCAAGAGTCTGGTATAGAAGAGCTGAACTATAAAGCATCGAGAATATTGAGAAATATCCCTAATTGTGATTTTAGACTTGCTTGTGCTTTAGGATTGAGATACCGTAAATTTCAAGCTCATGATGAACTAGAACATAGAGAAGAGATAAGCCCATTGAAATTATAAGGTGCTGAAAGAATGTGTTAATTATGATTAATGTCGTTAGGAATGGCAAGAGGGTATGGGAATTGCTTAAATTATGGCTGAGGTGACTAACAACAATTTGTAGAACTTCTAGTAGAGTATGGAGCAGGTGGATGTTACATCTCTGAAACTTCTCGAAATTGTTCCATAGGTCCTAGAGAAAACCGAGGGTGTAGCAGAACATTTGGTAAGAGTCTATTTTAGGATTGAGAAAAAAGAGCTTAACCAAAGCAGATGAGAGTGTTCTTGCTTGTAAATGGCAAAATCAATCTTGGACCTGGAGATTCTATATTTATTAAAAGCCGTAAAACGCTTTTTAACAGCTATTATGCATGAGGTATTCCACCTAATTTGTGGGGTAGAGGGATACTTTTGAATTTTGTGTTTATAGAGATAGTGATCCAAAAAGCTTTATTTATTTTTGTACCATATTGTAGTCCTCTAAAGAATATGTGGAACATTAAAATGGGATAAGAAAGAAATTGTAGAGAGAGGAGAAAAGAGTTATCCTTAGCCCTTAAGAATTATGTTTTAATTAGGGTAGACAAGTTAGTATTCGAACTTCGAAGAAGGACTTATAATACTTATAACTAATGAGAGGAGGTATCGCTATCATTTCCATCACTGTCGTTTAGATCCAACCAGGATAACCTGCTTGAAGAGATAGATATGTCAACTGCACATGATATTGGAAGGGTGATGGATTCTTCTATGGTTATTGGTGGATGCAGCAGACCATAAAAATAATATTTCTGTAGAAGTTGTTGGTATTATCGAAGTCTCAAGTGGGATAGTGACCAGAAGACGTTATACCTGCATGTGTCTCCGTTTTTTAAAAGCATACAACAGCAAATTTATGCTGAGTAGTTCCAGATAGAATTTTGTGTAATAATCTTAAATAAAACCGTGCATATTAAAGTTTATGATTGTTAAATGCTATATTAATTAATTAATAGTATTCCAATGATTATTGTAATTTTAAAATTAAAAAAAAAAATTGTGTATTTTAATTTAAAATTTTTTTTACTACAATTCTAGTTGCTATTACATTAATTTAATATATTCTTTTCTAGAAGACATATCATCAAGTTCGTCCATCAGTTCAAATAAAAAATAATCGACAAAAAAAATCTGATGTTACTGTAGACAAAGTTCTACTGCAAGCTAATGAATTGATTCGTCAGTCAAGTATTGAACCAAAAAAATACATACAAAATCAGTTGATGTTCAAAAAGAATAAAGATAAAATTGGAATTATTGAAAATTCTCTAGATTCAGCTCCACAAAAACATGTCACTCAATTATTGGATGAACCTGAATTATTTTCATCTCCAGATATTATTCTAGATGATACCAAAACATCTAATCAAACAGTAAATAACGAATTGGATTCTAAAATAAATGTTATCAATAAAATTGATGATATAACAACTATAGATAACCTTATTTCTAACACAACAAAAGATATAGAACAAGTTATTGTAAATAAAGAAGAAGCTGGAAGAGTTCGAAAACTCTCAAGTCGAATGAAGGATAATCCAGTTGAAATTACTGTAACTAAAACAGTAGAAGACATATTAAATGATATTAGTTCCAAAATAGCCAATCAAACAGAAATTATTGATGAGGAAAATTTGATTGATGAACTAGCTGATCTCAACGAAGACCTTAACTCTGTATGAAAATTTAAAAATGTCTAATTAAACTTATTTATATATAATATTTTATACTCATTTTTTTCTAGTAAACTTATTTATATATATATTTATACTCATTTTTTTTAGTCAAATTTGTTGCTCCGTCTAACTCTAGTCACGATTTGATGAACAAACTATTATCTGATGATAGTCTTAATCATAGTGGTAACTCAATAACATCAGTAACTGACGACAAACCTAAAGCTCCTACTATATTGGTTTATGGAAACATGGTAGATAGAATAGTGACACTGCCTCCAATCGAGATTCCCAAGACTCGGTCATTAGTAAAAAAAGAAGTATGTATTTTGTCAATACTAAATATTAAATTACATGTTGTATATCTTTAAATATTTTTTTTTAGAATCTCGATGCTAGTATAAAAGAGCAAGGTAGACAAAGACGTTCATCAGAAAAGTAAGTATAAATAACTAATATTTAGAATTTCTTCAATAACTATGACTTATGTGATATATAGAGCCTAGATTTATATGTAAATACATATTTTCTTTGCTACATGATAAACTAATTTCGGCAAGTGATAAATTTGTTTCAAAAGAATTTTGATAAAATGAGCTATATTTGATTTTACATATTTTTACATATTTTGCCATAAATACATGTTTTTACATATTTCACAATTATTCAATTTTTTCTCACATATTTAGACAATTTTACTCTTTTAACATCTTTTCTTCAGAGTTCAGAATGATTGAAAGAAAGGTTATCATGAGTAAGCCATTAGCCAATACTTAATAGTTCACGACTTGTGTGATATAATATCTTGTGGTCGGCGGAGTCCACCAGTGGCGCCGATCACCTAATTTATCTATGAGATATGTCATAGTAGATTTTTTAGATGTGGGCCTACTGTAGGAGGTAGTGCTGTGGATCCAGAATTTACATTAAAACGTAAAAAATAAATTATTTAACAATTGAACTATGTGTAGGTGCTTTGATTGCATTTAATTTTTATATTAAAAAAGGGGGGATGAGGGGGCTCCTTGGCGTACGATGTCATAGTATATTTTAAACACTTCGGCACCACTGCACCGGACGTATTTTTGACTTGAATATATACGGGTTCCTCAATGACAAACGACCGTTTCACTTAACCTGTTATATTTTCAATTATTTCTGGATAAAATTTATCCATTGAACTATCAGATATCGTATCGTAATGTATTACGATTAACACGTTTTTAATCACAAACGAGCGAAAACTGTGATGAGTGTGTAGTTTATAATGTGACATTGTAGTGTGTGTTTCGTAGCCTCGTTTTTCATTATATTTTACATGTATATTACAAATAATACCAAAAGTACGATCTTCTAAGACTTGCAAAGCAATAAACTATGTTTCGGAATATCCAGATGAACAATTACAAAGTGACGGTCACATTTTGTATTGTACTGCTTGTGAAAAATCCAAAGCATTTTTTTTTTTTTTTTTGATAATGCATATTTAAATTCTTTAGCATATATGCTACATATGGCTACATAGCATTTATGTTACATATTTTTGTTGTATAAATAATATAAATCCGAGCCCTAGTGATATATATATATTCATTTTTCTAGTTCAAAAAGCATAAATGATTATAGTGAAGAATCAGATACAGATAGAGAAGGAAATATGACTTCAGAGGATGATCCACATAGACTTTGGTGTGTTTGTAGAAAACCTCATAATAACAGGTAATAAATATAATATAATAGTTTAAATTAATTTAAATTTTAAATTAAAGTAAACATGCATAATTTTAAAACTTTGTTTAGATTTATGATATGTTGTGATACGTGTGAAGATTGGTTCCATGGAAAATGTGTGGGTATCACAAAAGCCTTGGGTGAACAAATGGAAGCTCGTGGTGTTGAATGGAATTGCCCACCGTGTAAAAAAAAGAGGACTGAAGATGCACGTAAAAAATCTGAAGAAGATAAGGCCAAGAAATTGGAAGAAGAGAAGGCCAAGAAATTGGAAGAAGATAAAGCCAAGAAATTGGAAGAAGATAAGGCTAAGAAATTGGAAGAAGATAAAGCCAAGAAATTAGAAGAAGATAAGGCCAAGAAATTGGAAGAAGAAAAGAAAAAACTACCAAGTTTGAAATCACCAATTAAAAACAGTGAAACAAAAGTTATAAAAATTCAACCTCAATTACAACAAAAATGTGTTCAATGTAAAAAAAATATTGAAGATGTTGCAGTAGGATTATTTTGTAAAGAAATATGTTTGGAAAAGCATATTGAAGAAAGTGTAGCTGCTATAAAAGCATGTTGTACTTCAGATTCACCGGATATTATTTTATTTGACAAAAAAAACAGCAGATTAATCACAGGTATATAACTATTATATTATATAATATATGCTTGCAACATTCTAAGAAGCAACATTACCTATCTCAGTTTTATCAACTTAACAGTAAATCAAAAAAATCAGTTTCTGTTGTACATTTTTCGATTCATTAACTTTAATCTGAATCTGAGACCTCTAGTTGATTCTGTTCAAAATGTTGAATAAAACAGTTAATGACTCAATTAGACCAAAATGTGAGTTAGGTGATATTGCTTCTTCAGCAATGATAAGTTTCAACATTTTATTTTTAATACGCACAAAAATCAAGCTGCATAATATCTAAATAAATAATTTCCTTTAAAATACATTGGTACCAGTAGTGATTTTATTTTATTTTTTTATTTTAATTAACTCACACCCAATTAGGCAATTAGATAAATAATTTAAGGATATATACAGTTTATACTTATATAGTAGTTACAGAAATTGATTGGAATTAAAATTTGCACAGATGAAAAAGAATTTTAAATATATATATATATACATAAGTGGTCCAAGAATTAAGCAGCAATTACCAAACATTATTAAGATCTCAAAGCATACGATGCATAGGGTGATCGTAACCATAAGAAGAAGAGTGGGATGGAACGTAAAGAGGAGTATGATCTCTGTTAGGATAGGACTTAAAACGAAACTGAATACTAGATAGAAGAGTAGGTGCATCAAGGGTGCCATTAAGGAGGGAAGAAACAAAATTAACGCCAGCAGTTATTCGACGGGTAGACAGTGTTTGTATATCTAATGCTTGGCGAACAAGCGAGTAGTCATGTGCGGGGTGGTCAATTTTCAATAGGAAAGCATAGGAAACAGTGGCGTGGCGTGGGTATTAAAAAGATGTAAGCAGTGAAATTTTTTTTTCAAAAGTGATTAGAATATAGGTACTATACCTAAAAACCTAATTATAAATTATGTATAAAAAAATGTTATCCTTTTAAAATGTTTAATATTTTTAAAAATATACTAGTTGTACAAATCAAATTTGAGAAAATAAAGAAATTGAAGTATACTTCAAAAGTCTATTAGGCGAATGACAGTGACAGTGTACGTAAAAATGACTACAGCGTACAACGCGTCGGGCTACGTACTGGTCGCTCCTTGTTTCTCGCGTAAGCAAAATCAAATTTGTTTACAAACGCTAGTTAAATACGTGACCCCACTATGGCATTAGACTATTCGAAAACAACAGTTGCGCGTAAGCAATTTCAGAATGTGTTACACTGTATATTGTATTATGATTATGCAGTTAACATAATACAGAATGGATTAAAAATAGACCTACAATCGATGATTTTCTTAAAATAGTTGGTAATCAGTAGACAGCGTACGGCACAAATAAACAATAACAAAAACCACTACCAGCTATAACTTAAATATTTTATAAATAAAATTAAAATTTTAAAAATCATTTATTATGTACCTATTAGTTGTGATTGATAAAATTTATATTTTCTTTCATTTAAAGTGTAAGCAGTGCTTACAGTGCTTACATGCATGCTACGCCCTGATAGGAAAGGAACTTATTTTGGACCCTTTCCAATCTAAGTTGGTTTCTTTGGCTAGGTATGGGTGCCAAACTTCAACACCATACTCTAACTTAGAGCGTACCAGGCAAAAATAAAGTGAGCGAAGACAAATTGCAAAGGAGAACGTTTTTGAGACTCGTTTAATAAATCCTAGGATCTTAAGGGCTTTAGGGACAATTTCATTGATATATTGCTCGTAACTTAAAGAGGGGGAATAGAAAATCCCGAGGTCCTTAAAAACAAACACCCGTTCAATAAAGACGTTACCGAGGCGATATGGATGGAAAATAGGAGAACGACTTCTAGTAAATGGCATTATATGAACTTTCCAAGGTTGAGTGACAAACCAAGACGTTGGACCCAGGTAAATAAGGTATCAAGTTCAGTTTGGAGGATGAAACAACTTTCAGGAGAATCAATTTTTAGGTAGATTTTTATATCGTCAGCAAATAGGAGGAATTTGGCTTTGGTAATCCACTTTTTAATAGAGTTAATGAATAGGATGTATAGTAAAGGGCTTAGGTGACCTCCAAAATCAGTGATTTTTTACAACCGCAGAATCATGAAATTAACGAATGACAAAAATATCATCTCCAGAAATAATTTTAGGCATTTCATAATATGTGTTTAATTTTTATTGAAGTTCATTGTTAATTAATATTGATGATGTTAAAAACTCCAAACGAAAGTAATTTGTCTTTATTCAATTCGTTTTCATAAACTAAGATGAAATAAGATGCAGCTAAGAGTGAATATTTATTTAGGGAATATGTTTTTACTATTATAATAGTATTGATTGTTCGTCATATATTATTTTAAACAAATTAAAATTATGTTACAGGTGAACAAGCTCCAAAACTTACAAATTTAAAACAATGGATGAAAGAAAATCCAGCATTCCAAATTTTAAAACCTTCTGGACCTAAAACTAACATTAATAAACCATCTTCGAAACCTCAAACTAATTCTAAGTCGACTGCAAATGCATTTAAATGTCTTAAAAAAGAAAACGAAAATCGCCTTAAGAGACCAGCCATTAGTCCAGATAAACATAAGGCAAAAGAAATGAAAAGAGAATTTGATGTGTCAGAATTATTGCAACCTGATAAAATCAAACTGGTATTTGTTAAAAAAGAATCACCAAAATCAATATTACCTAAAAAAGAACATATTAAACATACTACTCCTCAAAAAGAACCTAATAAACATACTACTTCTCAAAAAGAACCTAATAAACATACTACTCCTCAAAAAGAACCTAATAAATTTACTACTCAAAAAGAACCTATTAAACATACTATTTCTCAAAAAGAACCTATTAAAAATACTATTCCTCAAAAAGAACCTATTAAACCTGCTATTCCTCAAAAGGAGTCATCAAAATGTATACAACCAGTAGCACAGATAAAAACCACATCACTTTCAAAAATAAATGCAGTGCAAAAAGTAATTAAGAAAAAACCTGAACCGGTTAAAAAAATTGAACCAGTTAAAGAAATTTTTAATGAGAAAAAGGGTGAAGGACAATTGCGTTCTAATGTTCGTAAATCATTATTAGAATCATTAAGTAGTAGAATATCTGAAGAACCAGAATTAAAAACAGCTGAACAAGACTTAGAGGAATTGATCTTGAAAATTGAAGAAGAACTTTATAATCAATTTAGTAAGGTTGATCAGAAATACAAAACAAAATATAGAAGTTTATTATTCAATATAAAAGATCCAAAAAATTTAAATTTCTTTAAGAAAATTATGTTTAAGTGGGTTACACCATATCAGTTGGTGCGTATGACTGCTGACGAAATGGCATCTCAGGAACTTGCTGAGTGGAGAGAACGGGAAAACAAACATCAAATAGAAATGATCCGAAAAACTGAGTTGGATATGATGAATCAACCGAAGGCTTTACTAATGAAGACTCATAAAGGAGAAGAAATCATTGAATCGAGGGATAATAAGGAGACAATAGTATCAGAGTTTAATCCTGATATTAAGGTTGAGGAAAAAAAACCACAGATTTTATTAAAATTAACCAAAGAAAAAAAAAAGAGCAAATACAAAGAAAGAAGTAGTAGTGGTGAACGTGATCGTAGACATCATAAGTCTAGTAGAAATCGCCATAAATCACACAAGGATAAAAAACGTAGAAGTCGTGACCGGAGCAAAAGCAGAGACACTAAGAATAAAAAAGTTGAAAAGAATAAAGTAATTGAGACTGTTGCAGAACCAGTTACTGATAACACTGAAGTACGTAAAGATGAAGATATTAGTGATAGGGAACCAAGTTCAACTGTTGTTATAGCTACTCCACCTCGAATGGAAGATGAAGTTTGCCCTATATGGAAAGGAACCATAAATTTCACTGACGTTGCACGTTGTAATGTAACAATGTCTCGATTATCTGGTAATGTAATTGGATTGGATGAAGAACTTACTTTAACAGTTCTGGAATGTGTTGGTCGTATCAAACAACAAACTGTTTGGGAATATATGGGTAAATTGAAAAAAACTGGAACCAAAGATATTATTGTAACAAAGTTATCAGCAAGCGGAATAGAACAACAAATGTCCTACCTGAGCCTGTATCAATACCTCAGTGCTAAAAACCGCATAGCAGTTATTGATAGTAAACCATTTCCAAACATAAAAGATTTTTATTTATATCCTCTTGGCAGTCATAGTCCTATTCCTCAGGTTTTATTGCCATTAGATGGACCTGGTATTGATGACTATAGAACCCATTTGTTGCTGGGTATAATAGTACGAAATTCTAAGAAAAATTGGGTTCCACATTGGCAACCGTCTGAAAATAATTATGTGTTACCTGATATCAACGACACTTTGGCTTTACCTCATCTTAAACCTTCTTTTCCAACATCTAGTCAAGACAGTTATTCACCAAAAGAAAGTTATACTCCTCCAAGATCACCAACTAACAAAATTCTCAGTTTACCAACACCAGTCTTACCACTATCTTCAGGTAAACATTCTAAGTGTTTGTAACAGTGCATATACAATAGGTAGTAATTAGTATAAAGCATTGTATACTCTATCCAGTGAGAGAACGCTCTGGTTCAGTGCATGCAGACTGACGACCAAAAGATTGGGGAGGTCTCGTTTCCCCCTCTTTGGGTATTCCGAAGACGGTTGGGTATACGAGAAACCAGGTCAATTTTGGTCAGGCCTTTGCGCGTTCTCTCGCTGGATAGAGTATAACTAAAATACTGTAATTTACATAGATATATACAACAACTAGATAGCCGTTTCTTTCTTATCATCAAAGACAGCTGCAATTTCCAAAGCAGGCAATGTTTACAAAATAATATTATCATAGTACATAAGTATATGAATAAATGTAAAATAAAAGTAAACATTGCCTTCTTTATAAGTGGCGGCCGACTTCAACATTGTTCACAACAGCTGTAGTATAAAACCGGGCTATCTAGTTGTATAAATCTATGGCAATTTAGAATATTATGATTGATAATAAGTGATTCACTTTTTGTTTTTACATTCAATATATTTTATAGTAGGTATGTTTTGTTTGTGTTTTTTTGTAGTTTTGACTGATGATGACTTGCCTTATATACCCGGGGAAGAAGAACCGTACTCACCAGTTGATGAAGATGTGCCTAGCTTGTCTGATGATATAAATATAGCTGCAAGTATTGAACAACAAATGGAAGAATTAACCAGAAAAATTGAAAAAGAAAAATTAGTTATACAAATGATGACTGCCGGTTCTCAAAATTCAATTCTTATTGATGATTATGTATGTATATTATAATATTGATTTTCTCATGTGATTTATTAATTTATTATTATTGTTATATGTAGTCACAAGATCTAGATGAAGAAGTTTATAGTCCTACAAGTGAGCTGGCCCCACTAACAACTGAAATTCAACTGCCTAGTAATATTAAAGATATACTTTCTTCCATTAATACAAAAGAATTACTTTCAACTGAGGAGGAAAACTCTAAAGCTACTACAGATGTTGAAAAGAAATGCAGAGACCCTCGCCAACGAATATCAACAGCTGAACCTCCACCACCTGGGCTTGAAGATGAGTTTACACCACCTTGTAATCCTGACATAAGTTTACCCCCACCCCATTTCTCAACTCCATACATGCAACCTGTAAATTATATTGCACCTATTCCTTATCCTTATCCTCCACCTGGGTATATACCTGATGCTTACCCAAATCAATATGGACCTCAGCAACCCCCTCCACCTCCTCCAGCTATGGTCCTAGATCAAGGCAAATACAACAGTTATAATCAACCTGGGTATGCATACAATACAGTACAATACCAACCACCTCTTCCACCATCTTATCCAAAAACTAAAAAAGGATCAGGATTTTGGGGCCACGGTAGTTCTAAAAATGAACCGAAAAAGAAAAAATTTAAAAAATCAGGTGATCGAAGAGATAAAGGTTCTTGGAGACGTATGTAGTTGTTTCCTGTATAATTTTTATGTTCTTGGGTTGTGTTTTTATTAAATCTATGTTTTACATGTACAACTTATTTTATTTATCTTGACTTGATACTGTTAAGAATTTTTTTTAAATTTATTTTACATATTTTCTTATATGTAATGTAAACTTACATGTATTTATGTTATTCATATAAAATTGTTATAAATTTTATTGTATTTATATTTAGTTTAAGAATTAATAAATTTAAATGTACAAAACTAATGTGAATTTGTAGTGTGAGCACGTTACACATGGAACATAATGTTACATCATTTTATACAATTAAAGTGTACAACTTTTATACATTAAAATAACACTGACACTTAATTATGTTTTTAAAACAGTTAATATAATTATCGATGCTAATTGTTCTCAATAAAGTTAGATAATGTGGACGTGTGACTTCATAAAATCTCGTCATTAGATTTTATTTTTGCATTACAACTTTTAATAAAGACATTTCTGTAAATTAAATCATAATTTAACACCTTAGACATTTAGTCTATTGTTGAAAACGAAATCATTTATGTTTGTTTTATCATTGTCTTAATATAAGTAAGTATGTTTACAACATATTACATATTTAGTATTTCTTAACACTAAACATAGACTTCTATAGATATTATTGTAATATATACAACATAGCTTTAAAATATTTTTGAATATGTTTGGTGTTCCATTAGTTTAGTTATTGAAATAAAATCGATTAATTCAATACAAACTATGTTGCACAGTTTTATTTCATTATCTAATCTAATAAATTGTAAATATTGTGTATTATTATGTATTTTTGTGGTACATATGTTTTTTACTACTTTTGTTAGGTTTTTTAGGTACTTAAAAATTGCTTGGAATGTGCACAGTGGCATATAACATAGGGTTAAATATGGGCAGTTTGGCGGGTACTGGGTATGATAGAAGGAAAATAGGAAGTTTTACTGGTATATATAACGTTATGTCGATATAATTTGGGGTCAGTCACCTGAATTTATTTGAGGGACACCAATTTTTTTTTTTTATATATATAGTTACACACCACCACATGTAACAGTAGGAAAACAGTAACAGCAACATAAATTATTTATTTATTTATTTAATTTTAGAACTTTCAGCCTAAACTATTATAGTTCGACATACATAAATTATTTCAAATGAAAATTGAAAAAACCCGTAAACAGCTCCAAAATGTTTTGAAAATTATATCAATTATGGGAATCGATAAAATAAACATATGGTATAAATTTCAAGTGTACAGTTATTCATTTTTGAATTACAACAAAATAAGAGAATTGCTACTTGAGAATAGTGAATATCCAATGTTGTAAAAATTTGAACTTCAAACGCTCATAAAAATTTAATTTGACTTTCTTATAGGTATTTATTTATTTTTTTTTGTTAAATGTAGAGTACCTAAATGTTAAGATTTTCTTTAACAGTACCTTTTCTGATGGGAAAGTGAATCTATTTTGTACTTTGGTACAAGGCTCTTAATATATTGTTACAATGACATTTGAAAAATATTAAAAACCCAGTCACAATTTTTTTTATAAGTATTTAAAGTTAAAATCTTGACAAAATACGTAAAAACACAAAGGTATGCAAATTATTTTGAATTGGAAATTCATAAAAAACTTTCTTTTTAAATCTAAGATTTGAAAATGGAATATAATATTCCATATAAGTTTGTCTACCTCAGTAGAGCAAATAAGAAAAATGTTTAGAGGGAACTCAAGTTCCAAAAAAAAAAAAAAAAATGTTTATAAATTATAATATATTTGAACTTTAAGTGATTCTGAGGGAACTACCAGCTAAGCATCCCCAAGCCCCCCACCTATTTGAGCCACTGCCAAAGGTGATGATAAAATAAAAAAACACATCATTGTAAAATCAATATATTCATCGTTCCGCTCAGCATCTAAAATGTAGGAAGTAAGTTGATAAGTATAAAAAAACGGTATTTTGGGTGTAATGTCAGACAATTTTTTTAATTTTTTTTTTTACAACTCAATTAAATTTGAAATTGTTAGGTCAAAAAGCATGAAAATTTTATTAGTCTCCTGATATACTGTTACAGTACCTAGCAGTTGAAAAATATTAAAAATACGTAGGCACGATTTTTTTTCATAAGCATTCAAATGTTGACGAAATTTATCAAATTGAAAATTTACAAATTATATTGTAGTTAAATATCTATAAGATCAACATTTAAACAAGGTTCCACGTATCTAGTGTAGTTGGTTTATAAGTTATTGCCGTAGTTCACGATAATATTGAAGTTTTACGCATTCGTATAATGCTCTATATACCGGAATTCCAGAACTTTTCTGTTTTACCAAACACCCTTTTTTTTTTTACAATTTTCTTTTGTTTTAACGTTCCTATGTAGTTTAGCATGCTTAAAACAATGATGAAGTCAGAATTTAGTTTTAAAGGCATAGTTCATTGAAATGTATATAGTATTTTCACCTATGTACATCCACCGTGGTCACTCGCACTCTGAGCTCAATCGGACTATTCAAATTGAAAACATCGCTCAAAATGTTATGTAAAACCACTATGGTTGGGTTTCGGAGCTTAAACAAAATTATTAAAAGTTCATATTATACAACCAGCAGTTGATTTGCCTAGGTATAAAATAAAAAAATTGAAAAATTTGTTACAAGTGTTTTGAACTATGGCGTTGTGGGCATGCTTATAACACCAAAATTTGTGAACCTCGTAATATCAGCTATTTTTTTTTTAATAGGTATACCATAAAAAGTTTAGGGACTAAGCCCTCCCAAACATTTCCCACATTTTGTTTTAAGCTTATTCAATAATACCAAAGTAAGGCTTTAGCCCCCCCCCCCCCAAAATCCCAAACACTATTAAGGCCTAGGTCACACACAAAATAATGGTATCCTTTTAAACAACACAATAAAATATAATTACACGATCAATTACTTGATATTATACAAAACTGTTTATTTTTCTATACATAATCATGATCCATTGTATGTACAATAAATATTATAATTATTAATTAATCAATGAGAAGTTGAGTTTTTAAATAAACAGATATTTATATTATAATGATATATTAATATATTCATACATGTTTTGATTTTAAAATTAATGAATGAGAAAAACATTGTTTTTAAGGATAGATTTATATTGAATATACAGAAATATAATATTTTAAGTATGCTTTCATTGAGATTTTTAATTTGTAATATAAAAAAGTAAATTTAGAAAAACAAAATGAAAATTGATCAAACAAAAAGGCTTAACCTTAACGGCTAAGCTTCCATGAACATTTGATAAATGCTCATAAAAACCTAGCTACACAATTATTATTAGTTAATCATTAAATATAGTTTAAACATCTAGTCTTGTTGTACAAAAGGATTGGCGATTGCTTCCATACCATCAACAGGACAAATTAGTACAATTGATGTGCCTCGACAAACAACTAAACCTAATGTTCTCGTATCTTCTGTTAGTTTCATAGGTTCATCAGGATCTCGTAAATACTCAAGAGTATTATCCAATACGAGATTTACTAATGGATCAAATCCTTTCAAAATACCCGACACTTCTCGACCTCCTGAAAATTTAACCCTAATGGCTTTTTCTAAGTACCTAAAAACGCAAAACAAAATATATTATAATCTCGGTATGTTAGTAGTAATATTCATGCAATTCAATTTTATTTATGCTCCACTAACCTTGTTAAATCTAAAATACTCTCCTTTTTCTTTTTCTCGGGAGCTGAAGTTGCATCTTTTCCACTCATTTTAAATACTTTGAGTTCGGTGGTCGCCTGTCGGTATTCAAAAATGAATATTTGTTTAAATCTCTAGTAAATAATATCATAATCATAATTACTATCAAACATGTTAATACTTTATAAACATAACCCCAATAATTTCTGTTCTGTGATTCTACCGGTGTAACCACTTATTTATACCACGCTTCATGTGTGATTTGTACACATAACCTAAAACTAATCATTTAAAAATTAAAATTATAGTAATAAATTACTATTTACTTGCTACTTCGTATTTCGTACAGTTCGTAGTTTCTGACTTACCATAATAGTTTGGTTTGGTTTTAATGGATTTTTAAATTGACAAAATGAGTGACGCCGAAAAAAGTAATTATTAAAAATATAATCTAGTTTGAGACTAAGTGATTTTTATAATTTTTTCATTCACAGCACTTCCAGGTCCTAGCCTGGAGTTGAAAATAATGGCTGAGGATAGAAAATTTTCCAGTCTAGAAGGCCATGTATGTGAAAACACATTAAAAGGTATAGCAGACATGGGGTTTACAGTGATGACTGAAATTCAAGCCAAAACTATACCTCCATTGTTGGAGGGACGTGATTTAGTCGGAGCCGCAAAAACTGGCAGTGGAAAAACATTGGCCTTTTTAATTCCAGCTGTAGAATTGATTTACAAGCTGAAGTTCATGCCCAGAAATGGTACTGGTTGTATAATTATATCTCCTACCAGAGAGCTATCAATGCAGACGTATGGTGTGTTAAAAGAATTGATGAAACATCATCATCATACATACGGCCTCATGATGGGAGGTGCAAATAGACAAACTGAAGCTACGAAATTGTCCAAAGGTAATTTTTTTATAATATTTATTATATTATTATTAACAATAGATACAAATTTTATGAAAAAAAAACAACCATTTGGGTACTTCTGAATTATCTCGACTACCAAAATGTATTGATTAAAAAAAATATAGGTACTTGTATTGTTGATATTTAATTAACATTCAGTTATAATATTTATTAGGTAGTAAGAAAAATGTATAAGTATAAAAAAAGATTTTAAAGTTTTAAACAAAAATTAACACGTTTGCTATGTATCATATTTGTGCATATTTTGTTGTGACGCTGAAAAAATTGGAGTTTTATAAAAGAATTTCCTAAATATTAAAAATATCAGTGTATGACTTGCACTTGTTTATGAAATAATGGTAGAAGACGCTGACAAAAATCAAAAAGCTTAATTGTAACGTGGACCAAATTGTAGTGCATTTAATAACTAGGTACATGACGCCAATTGGAGTTTTCAACATATGCGAACTATGTAAAATGATGTCATTTGACGTCACACGCAGTAAACATGTTAAAATACCCCAAAATAATTCAGTTCATAATTTTTCCGGAGGAAAGAATTTTAATATCTATTAGAATTCTAGAAAATGGATAATTTTCCAATTTTTTCGCCAAACAAATTCAGTCAGATAGGATTTAGATGATTGCAAGCAGTTAAATAAGTAGATTCCTATAAAAGGTAGTAACCCGGTGATAACCCAGAAATACCTCCTATTATGCATTTGCCACACTCGCAAATTTCTCACTTCCTTCAACTTATTTAAAAGAATTTCAGAAATCTCTATTTAATTTCTCTGAACCATACAAAACAGCAAATTTAATATAAGCAACTATACTCTATTTCACGAGAGAACGGTACCTTTTCGCGCATGTAAAATGATTCGATTGGTGCGTGAACGACCACGTGATCACGCTTACCACTGATAGTTGGTGGGGGATGAGCGGCGGCGGACCCGTTTTGGTCGGCCGCCGCTACCTTTCTCTCTTGAAAAAGAGTATAAGAGTGAATTATCAAACGTTAGGTTTCTAATAACATTTTTATTTTTAGATTTTGAGTGAAGTGATAAATGATTGATTTTAATATGATGTGTGTTTAATTTTGTGTAAAGACACTTTCTAATACAAAAAATGCAATAATCATCAATTTAGAGTGAGGTTTCTGGTGGAAAATTTAAACTATAGTTTGTTCTATAACTATGATTCCTTCCTAAATGGCTGACATCATATGTGTTAAAAACTTAATATTCATACTTCATTCATGAAAAAATTATTTTTATTTTTAGGTATAAATCTAGTTGTTGCCACCCCTGGAAGATTACTAGATCATTTACAAAATTCTCCTGATTTTCTTTACAAAAATCTTCAATGTCTCATTATTGATGAAGCTGATCGTATTTTGGATATTGGATTTGAGGAAGAAATAAAACAAATAATAAATTTATTACCTAGTAAGGTTTTTATAATCAAATATTGATTTTTATTTACTTATCATAATTTTAATCAAAATGCTTTTAGAGCGGAGACAAACAATGCTATTTAGTGCCACTAAAACACCTAAAACCGATGCATTGACTACATTTGCATTGAAGAAAGAACCCATTTATATTGGAGTAGATGACAGTAAAGAAGAAGCGACAGTTGACGGTTTAGAACAAGGATATGTTATATGTCCATCTGAAAAACGATTCTTATTGTTGTTTACATTTTTGAAAAAAAACAGAAAGAAGAAAGTTATGGTATTCTTTAGCTCATGTTTGGCCGTAAAATATTTTCATGAACTATTAAACTACATAGATTTGCCTGTTATGTGCATACACGTAAGATTTTGTATTCAGTTTATAATTGAGTATGTACTTATTTTATTTGATTTTGATATAGGGTAAACAAAAACAAGAAAGGCGGACCACTACATTTTTCCAGTTTTGTAATGCCGAAACTGGCATATTGTTATGTACTGATGTTGCAGCCAGGGGATTAGATATTCCGTTAGTTGATTGGATTGTTCAGTATGATCCCCCTGATGATCCCAAAGTTTGTATATTTAATTGAATAATATAATATTTAAAATAAACAAGTTGTTAAATTATTATTATAAATTTTTAGGAATATATTCATCGAGTAGGACGTACAGCTCGAGGTGAAGGTAGCAGTGGACATGCTTTATTAATTTTGCGTCCTGAAGAATTAGGATTTCTTCAATATTTAAAAAAAGCAAAAGTACCATTAAATGAATTTGATTTTTCATGGAATAAAATTTCGGATATACAACTACAACTTGAAAAACTCGTAGCTAAAAATTATTTCTTGCATATCTCTGCAAAAGAAGCATTTAAGTCATATGTTCGTGCTTATGATTCACATCATCTAAAACAAATATTTGATGTTGGCACTTTGGATATTACAAAAGTTGCAGCTTCATTTGGATTTACTACTCCTCCAGCTGTAGAACTAAACGCAAAAGCAGTTAGACCGCGAAAACGACACGGTGGAGGTGGTTTGGGAAAATTCAATAATATGAATAAAAGTGATAAAAAAGTATTTAAATTTGTACAACCTCCAGAAAAAAAGAAAAAAAATAAATAAATGATTAATATTGATTTTTTAATGTACGCTATTATTTTTTATTAAAATTTGTTTGTACCATATATCTTATTTATTAATGTAAACTCTCATATAGGGCTCAAATATAATACATAATTATTAAAATGTAATAGTTATAAAATATAAAAATTTAACTATAGGTTAGTTGCAATAAATGTAAATTATGAGTGTCACTCGAGGGATTCAAAATATATTCTAATATTTTGTTTTAAGTTTACTCGTGGGATGAGAAGATCAATATTTTGCCGTAATTTATAGCCAATGAAAACCTGACTAAACAACTGGTTTTATGTAAAAGTTTGTGTTGTTTCATTAGATTTTTTTCCCACTTGTTTTGTTAATTATTGGGAATTTTCTATTTTACCTCCCAAAACTACCAACTAGATACAATTTTCTACCACACTACACCCTCAAAGTTGAATATCAAAGAATTTTTCTACTATAAACCATATATTTTCATAGTGTACTTACTTAATTTGTGGGGGCACTATCCATTACAGTGACCCACTTGTAACCCACAGTACACCAGAGTGACATCCACTTACCTCCCTTTTTATATATCAAAATACTTAGAAAAATATTCTGCTTTGAAATATGTAATTATAACCGTTGTCATTGAAAAAGTAAAAAATATTTTAAAACGTATGATTTTTTAATAAAAACGTTTTTTAACAACTTGAAACTGTAAAAATATATTTTCAAAAACACTAATACTTTTTGAAGTAATTAGTGTTTCATGATTAAAGAATCACCTTGTATTAACTATTATTTTCTGTTTAAATATGAAATTATAATATATTTTGTAAGCAATACGTATATTCAAGGAATAGTAATGAATTGCATAGAATATTGACTTTTGAAAAACTACTTTTAGTCTAACAATAAAAAAATGAGTCTGGACTTCTTGTCTTACTTTTTTCAAAATGGTCTTTTTGACGAATTAGCCTTTTATGTCCAGAGGTGTAGGATTCTGGAAGGTTATTCTCATGGCAGTATCCACAATATCTGCCATCTGGGTGAATTGACTGACGATGATAATGGCCACAATGGATAAAAAAAAAAAGGACGAAATAAGTTATTTAGGATGTCTTGTGCTCTTGTCAAGGTACGCAAGGTAATTATAATATAATTATATTATATTTTAATTATAACATAATATTATGTATTATAATTACCTTGGTGGTACGGTCTTACGAGTTACAATTTACAACGTTTTTTCTATATAATATTGAATATTTTATTATTTTTGTGATAAAATTGTATAATGTCACGATGTAGAGAAATCTTCCACATAGATCTAATTTGTCATAGATCTTCTCTAGATCATGCCACTCATGACTAAATAAATTGATTTAGTCATGTAGAGCCCGGTATAGGTAAAAAGCGACAAAAAATGGGATAAATTTAAATAGTAAGTATTCTCTGAAGACTCAACAAGGTATGGTGCCACCTACAGGTTACTTTTTATAGTCCGCTATAGTCTATGCTAATAGCATAGATAACATAAATAATAATATTAATTATTACATGACGTATTTTAGCCATAGCACAGGCCA